CAGTGTCGAAGTCAACTGGGTTTTCTGAAGATAATTTCTTTATGGCAAGATATCTCCGACCGAATCGTCTCGAATGCTTATATAGCGCGCTGTAACCGAGGCGGTGAAATGAGCTCTCTGTTCGTGGACGTGGCCATCGTCCGAACGAACTGTTGGCTTTGTGGGTCGATAAGGAGACCATAAAGGTTCCTGAGATGAATTTTGGGATAGATGTCGAGGTGGATAAATTTGAAAATCCGAAGGGTAAAAACTTAGAGAATTTGAAATGATAAGGAAGAATCACGAAGGATCAACTTAAATCAGGAAATCTTCCAAAAACCCTGAAGAATAAGGAAATTATCCTGATCCGCGATATTCCACACCGACTTCAAGATAAATGGAAATCTTCCGAGAATATCGCTGGAGAGGCGGTTTATCACCCCTATATAAAGAGATTCAAGGCTCTCGCAGAAGGCAAGCAATATCGCTCTAGAATTTACACTACGCAAAGCTCTCACAGCACAAACACCTTTTTCTTTTACGATCAAACTCTTGTACGATCAAATTTAGCGGGAGTATATGTATACGGACCCACTCCCCCCTTTTTTAATTAGGGGGGGGTAGCTGAACTCGTCCGAGGACGATCTGCCTACGTACCCTTTTCAGGGATCAAGCCACCCCGTAGTTCGAGTACATGCGTACCTTAGGTTTTTAGCGGTAATATTTCCTTAGGTGCATTGCGTTCCAGGATCTAGGTACCGCTTTGCCGTTCATGTTGATGAGTTCGTAGATGCCGGGACGGATTACCTTTGCGATCGTGTAAGGTCCCTCCCAATTCGCGCCGAGCTTACCTGCGTTCTGCTCGGCGGTATTCTAGAAAACTTTGCGTAGTACGAGATCTCCTTCGTGGAAACGGCGATGCTTAACGTGAGAATTGTAGTACCGGGCCGTTGCATTCTGATAGTTCTGCATACGGATCAAAGCCGAATCTCTTCTTTCGTCAATTAAGTCCAGCTCGTCCAGCATCATCTGAGTGTTAGAATTTTCCTGCTCGGGGAGAAAACGTCTTCTCAGTCCCGGGATCTCGGCTTCAGTGGGAATCACACACTCCGTGCCGTAGACAAGGGCGAAAGGTGTTTCTCCCGTGGCCCGCCGCGGCGTGGTTCTGTGCGACCATAGTACTCCTTCCAATTCGTCGGCCCAGCGGCCTTTCTTTGCGTCGAGGCGCTTTTTTATTCCGTCGAGAATCGTCTTGTTTGCCGCTTCGGCCTGTCCGTTTCCCTGAGGGTACCGAGGCGTGGACTTGCTAAGGCGAATTCCCCATTTCTCGCAGAATCCTTCGAACCGAGCCGAAATAAACTACGATCCGTTGTCTGTAACGATCTCGTAAGGTATTCCGTGGCGGCACACGATGTTCTTCCAGACAAAGTTCTCGACCTGCGCGTCTTTGATGCTGGCGTAGGAGTCCGCCTCGATCCATTTGGAGAAGTAGTCTGTCAGTACGAGGACGAGTTTCTTCTGCTTGGAGTTGTGTAGAGGTCCGATGATGTCCATGGACCATCGCATGAATGGATAAGGCGAAGTGATGGAAGAGAGGAGCTCGGCGGGTTGATGAATGGTTGGTGCGTGCCTCTGGCATTTATCACATCGTTGAGAAAACTTCTCGCAGTCTTTGACCATCGTCGGCCAAAAATATCCGTGGCGTTTAATCTTTATAGCCAGGGCTCTTCCGCCAGAATGGT